CCCTCGACGTTAATGCCATTCCTGTTATTCAACGATATATAACACATGATTAATACAAAGACTCAACGATAAGAGTATGTCATCAAAGAGTACGAACACTTCGAGGATTCGGTCGCCTTTCCTAATGCCGGCCATTTGTGCGGCTCCGGACTCGAGGACAGCGGACACACTGTGTGACAGACAATGGATGAGACAGTGACAGGCAATGAGTGGTGCAAATGATGGCAACACTTACTGCTGAAGAGGGGCGTAGAGTTCACCGTTGATGGAGCGAAGGGGTCCGCCTTCAGACACCTGTCCCCTCACATTGAATCCAAAGCCAGTTTCCGACTTATATATGGAGACCACTCGCGGACCAAATGCCGGAATCGAGCGGTCATTCGTGTCCTCGCAATCGCTTTCAGCCATTAATTACTTCTTATTATCATTTAATTGACGATAAAATGCATTAAAAAATATGTTTTCGTTTTTTTCTATCATTCAATTCAATTGATTGTCACATAAATTGTCGCAAAATCTTAAATATATTATACTTTTAAATAAATTAACTTTAAATTCAAAATTCAAACTAAAATCTAAATCACAATAAAAAATAGCACTAAAAATATTGACAACAAAATGAGTGATTAAAAGCAAATTGACGTCAATTTAGTTAAATTGTGTGACATTTGGCCTAAAAGTGAATGAAATGAATGAATGAATGAATTAATAATGTATTGAATGACTGTTTTTGCAAAACATTAATACAAACACTAATTGTTGTTATTATTCGACAAATAAATCATTTTTAGGTTTGCATTGATTTTTCGGCAATCAATTGAAAACATTCACTCTTTCTTACAGTCAATACAATAACACAACTATAGTCTCACTTCACTTCTATCACAGGCTGTTCACAGCACTCGACGAACACCTATTCTAATCACTTGACTATTATTTCAGTATACAGTATGAAAGCATTATGTATTAGAGTTGAGATTAACTATCATAATATAATGGTCACAATTGTTAAATTTTAATATATATTCAATTGTATTTCATTATATTAAATATCTTGTTTATTTTGATTTATATTTTTAATTGAAATTATGGGTAAAATGTATAAACATGGTTGAACCAACGGTTAAAATATACAACATTAATATTACACAGTAATATACTTATTAAGTAACAATTTCTGTAATAATTATTTAATTGCTGAATAAATCTATAGATACATTTATCCATTAAACTCTTCACAATGTATTACATATCTTTACTAATTCTGACAAATAATTTATTTGAACATTTAATAAAATTTGTAAAAATTAAGAAATATATATATAAGGTTTGCTAAATAATTATATTTTATTTTTAAATATTAATTATTATAATAATAAATTAATAACATTATATTACTAACCACTATTTTTATATTTTAGCATGTTAAAAAGTGTTGATTATAACGAGTGGTGACTATACATAGAAATTGCAAATAAATCAGGTTTTATCATGGGGTATATAATTTTGTTCATATCTGTCCATCAGTTCTGTATGAATGCATGATATTTTTATTTTAAGTATTTAAAATGCCATTTTGCTGAATATACTGCATTCGCAATTAAAATATGATGGTTCATTTTACAATTTAAAATGTTATATCTGAAAATAAAATGAAAATGATAAAATAATCAGTTAGATTAGAATGACCAACATAAACTTGTTACAGAAACCTTTCACTCAAACAAAACGCCCAATTTATATCATATTAAACTTTATTTCAACATAAATCACGTTGAATTGCCAAATACTATGTTCAATTACTTTCACTTAAATCACCAATTCACTATTCTAACATTTATTTCGAAATAAATTAATATTTAATATTACTATAAATAAATTATTTTAAAAATATTAATCAATATTTGTTTAAATTTAGTAACATTTTTTGTTAATTTTAGATCATGGTGTAAATTTTACAAAGTTGATAAATATGGTCTATTTATTAGACTTGATTTTTATTAATTATATTATTAAAATTGATTTAATAATACAGTTTCAAAATAAATGTTAAATTTAATGAAAATTCAATTATTGTTTAAATTATATACAATTTCTTCATAATTTTTAACAAATAAACTTCGATATTATATCAATTTCTTTTCACTTCATTACTATAGGAAATATTAATAAATGTAATAAAAGTATATTTTTAAAAATTAAATTAAATACTTTTTAAAAACTTTAAGCAATTTAAGTTAGTATTAATAAATTAAAATTTTTTAACAATTCTATGATTAAAGAATTTTATGTTAAATATTAATATTCAATCAATCATTTGACTCTTAATTAAATGCTTAACTTTTATTTCTAATATTGAATATTTTGTTGAATATTTTGTGGTGTTTTTTATTTGAATAAATATTTGGCAAATTTTCATTAAATATTAAGTAATAAGACTTAAAATACAGTGTTTTGAGAATAAGATGTGAGGGAATGATTGAACGCAGACTCAAAG